TTATATAAGTAAATGATATATTTATATATATATATTTATATAAAAGATAAGTCATAGGTTGGTACGTTGTAGATTAAATTGAATTTGCTTCAGTTTTTCTTCTTCTTTTTTTTTGGTATTTGTTCTTTTTTTTTTATTGTCTCCATAGCGGAGCCCTCGAGTATAAAGGGTTAATAAATCTCGTATCGTATTTTTCGCGAGTCAAATATCTTAAGAAAAAATGAAAAAGAAAAAAAGGGAGAAAGACGATCAAATCAATTGATATTATTTTATACGAAATATATTATATAATAAAACAAGCCCTAAATTGATAAATACAAGTTAACCGTGTTTATTCTATTTAAATAAATAAATAAATAAATAAATAAATAAATAAATAAATAAATAAATATATAAATAAATATATAAATCCTAATATTACCCTTTTTGAAATTAATTTTATTATTTATCTATTTATTTATTTATTTATTTATTTTTTACTAGCAATTAAATGCGTCCGACAACGTTGACGATGACGATGACGATGACGATGACGATGACAATGATGATGATGATGACGATGACGATTTTAAAAAGGAATGAGGTGAAGTTTACTGAAAAATAAGAACGACGAGACACAGAGGACGTTATTTTTCTTTTTCTTTTTCTTTTTTTTTCTGGGTTGTTGTCCAAAGATCCTCCGTAAAGTTTTTAGGGAAGAAAGCGGACGGTGATTATAAACAGCCACGTGGCCCTTGACGAAGGGAACCCCTAGGGCTTAAGCACGCGACCGTCGAAAGCCAAACCGAGAATACTATGACGAGAACAATTAATTTATTGTTCGTACCGAGTGACAATTGGTCTCGTATAGTTTAGAAAAACAGGATCACGTGGATTTATTCTGTTCGAATGATCATAGACGAATTTTTATTATGATAGTCCTAAGAAATATAGAAACAACGCGAATTATAATAATAATAATAATAATAATAATAATAATAATAATAATAATAATAAAAATTTCATAATATAAAAAGAAAAGAAATTAAAAGAAAAGCAAAGCAAAGCAAAGTAAAAAAAAAGAGAGAAAAGAAAATAAATCCTTATGGAATAAACAATAAAAGAAAAAAAAGGATAATTAATATGAAACAACGATTGATAGTTACATGAATTTAACGGGTGTTTGTTAATAAAAAAAAACAAAAGAAAAAAAAACTAAACGAAAACCTTCTCTTTCTTTTTTAATTAATTAATTAATTATGAGAGTGAGAGAGAGGTGGGTGGTTTTAGGGTGAGGGAATCGGTTGTAATGTTAAATAAATTGGTATAACGTTTGTTCTGTGGTTTTTTTTGTTTTTTTTTTTT